CCGAGGCCTCGGGCAGGCTCGCCTCACCCCAGGCCTGCCCCTCGCACCAAGGCTTTGGCACGAGCGCACATAACCCCTTTTGTTTTTAGGCTGGCACGAGTTGTCTGTCATCAAACCCTGCAGCAAGCTTTGCATTTTGAAGGCAGACTTGCAGAAAACACAGGAGGCTTCATCTCCGTATGAGGAAGAACTTCTTTCCTGTGAGGGTGACAGAACACTGGAATAGGCTGCCCAGAGAGGCTGTGGAGACTCCTTCTCTGGAGATCTTCAAACCTGCCTGGATGCCACCCTGTGCCCCGTGCTCTAGGTGTCCCTGCTGGAGCAGGGGGGTTGGACTAGATGATCTCTGGAGGTCCCTTCCAAGCTCAACCATTCTGTAGTTCTGTGATTAAAAGCAAAGGGAGAGGCATCCTAGGCTACTGGGATGGCATCTCAGGTTACTGGACACCACTGCTGCTTCAAAACAGTGCTTGGAAGTCATGCTTCCCCTATACTCATTGCACAGCAACATGCTCCCCTATCAGCTCTGTGTTGAAATTAAGCAACAAAAGCTTAGGCAAACCCGTGACATTTTAATCTGTTTTTTTCCAGGAGCGTTGCAGGCTAAGTCTCTATCAACAGTGTTAGCATCTAAACTCGTTACCACATTTTCTGCCTTGTCCCTGTTGTGTTGCAGCTCTATGCAGCAGCCTTGTAAGACAGGTCTAGGAAAGCAAGGTCTGGCTTCATTGTGTATTGGAATAACGACTTTGTGAGAGTTTATTCCTGTGTTTCTCTGTGGACTTGCTTATAGCTGCACTCTTTGAAAGGCCAAGGAAGAAGATGAGCTGAACAAACTACTTCTGGGGGGTTTTAGGTTCACTGAAAAATGAAAATGTTGGTAGAGCCTCACAGTCTCTGCTGACAAACTTGGAATTTGGTTCTGCATCTTAACCTCTGCAACACTTAGCTTGGTATTAGCTGTATGCATTGGGACGTGAGCTTCTCCTTCTGTATCACTGATTAGTCTGATGTGATTAAAAAGCTCTCAGTCTCTTGACAGATTTCTGAAATGGGCTCTCTTGCCTCAGTTTTTGAAGCATTTGAACTCTCTATGACTGCAACGTTTTGTCTTCTTTCTGGTATCAGTAATAGCAGAAAATTGGTTCCATCATGGCTAATGTCAGTATTGTAATCCTCTTTTTGCAAAGGCAGTTTCCAAAAATACATTGTCAGGTTGTGTCAAGCACAATTTTTCTCTGCTTGTTTGGGCTTCGTGCTATTCTGTGTGTAAAAAATAATCCCGAGACCTGGAGATGTTGCGTGATGTGTGTGTATAAATTGTGCCTTCTTCTTTTTGCAGCAATAGGCAATGCTTTTGCAGTTCTGAGCAACCCTGAAAAACGGCTGCGATACGATGAGTTTGGAAGTGACCAAGAGAATGTCCACGCTGGCCATGGCCAGGCCAGGCACTATAATTATTATGCAGAATTTGAAGCAGACATCACACCAGAAGAAATATTCAATGTTTTCTTTGGTGGGCACTTTCCTACAGGTTAGTATCGGCCTGTGGTGCTCTTGAAATGTAAACAGCTGGTACGATACTATAAATTAAGTTTAGTTTCTCTTGATGCTGTTCAGTAAGTTGATTATGTCTCTGGAGAGAGCAAAACACCTGTTTGGATTATTCTTTTCTCCATCTGTAGTTTTTATGCCTGGGGAATCTCCTTTAGTGCCCAGTTTTGGATGCTTGTAAAAGCTCAAAAGCTAAGAGCGCTGCTACAAGAGAAAGTTACCGCTGGAGTAATGGATGCTGGGGCAAGTTCCCAGCTTGTTTTTCAGAATTTCTGACAGAACTGTAAAAACAGCAAGATGTTGCATGATTAATGGATGCCGGTTTGGATTACAAGTACCTCTGAAAGGTATCCAAGCATCTTGCTTGGCAGTGTCTTTGTTAGCAGTCTTTGATGACAGATTATTTTAGCAGTCTCGCATACTGTTTCACACCTCCCAGGTGTAGCATAAACCAACACGCGTGCCGACCTCTAAAACCTGAAGCAAGAGATGCAGATAATGAGATACACCTCAGTCTGTGTTATGGCAGCTTGCTCTGTGCAGTAGCATCTTACAAATTGTTTTAAAAGAGTTGCTAGTAAATGTTCAGGATGGGCCAAACTCAGCCTGACGTTTTCCCTCTGGACGTGCAAGAAGCTGCAGCTGCTGGTGGCTTCAGTCACTATCGGGACGTGGCCTCTGCTGGAGTGTGGCCATGTCACTGCCGGCAGTGGGGACACTTGGAGCTGAGGGCAGGAAGCCGAGGACCTGCAGGAGGAACCTGGGCACTAGGGACAGCGGGTCTAGCAGGTACAAGGGCATGAGGAAGTACATGGGAATTTTTATCACTGTGCCGAAGAAAAAAAAAAAAAAGAGAATTTCATAGTAATACTTAGTAGTAAGCAGTAGTTTCCTCCTCCAAAAGTGTTTGGTTCTGAATATATTTGCATTTTCCTAACAATTTTTAGTGTTAACAATTCTAAGTGGCTTTTTAATTGTTAAAAGTCATTTCAGTGGTTCTCTTAGTAGGCAAAATCCACATAATTTCTACTTAGCAGTTACTAGTAGCCTAGTAGAATTATTAGTAAGAGAATTTTTTTTTAAACTATGACAAACATGAGTGTACTCACACAAAGTCCTCTTTATGTTAAGCTTAACATAACTTTATGTTAAGAACATCTTGCTATCACCTGGCTTTCTGGAACTCTCCAAAAAATGATGGTGTTGGGTTAAACTCATTTAAATATTAATTAAATATTATTTAAATATTTTGCTTTTTTCTGTGGAAAGTTCATTGGAAATTGGTATAGTCATTGAACAAGCAAGGAAACAAATATTCTTAGGCAATAGGAAAGGTCACCCCTCCCACCATGTATTTTGGTACAATGATAATTTGACAGCACTTGCAAAATGCTTTGAGAAAGTCAGATAAGGGATGCTGTATGAACATAAAGTGCTGTGTCATTTTTCTCCAAGGCTTAAAATAGATTTCCATTTCTGTTGTCCTAAGGCTGTTAAATTTCAATTCTTTATTACAAAGACGTTCTGTGTTTGAGAAGAGGAGAGCATAGCCATTATTAAGATATTTATATGATGATACAATCAGAGTTTTAAGCTTCAAATGAAGAGCAGTATTTGCCATTCTTACCTCATTTTAGCATTTCTAAAAATCAGCTGCATTCAGCGTGCAAGAAAGAGAATCATGAATAGTACTTTTTATTTTTCATCTTTTTCCTCATTATAAAAGCATTAAATGAATGAATGTATGAAAGGCTTGAAAGAATAAAAAGTGGAAATGAGTGTAGAGCATATTCAGTGGTTATGGGAAGCCATAATTCATGGACTGTGTTGGGTTAAGCAAAACAATTTTCCTGTTTAAGTCCTGGGAATGAAACACAAACTGTAGTCTTGCAGATATGATAAAGTTAATATTAAAGTATGACTTGCGATAATGGAAATTGTAGCAGGCTTATGCAATTTGACATAAATTCAGGTGATCTTGAAGCCAATCTTACCATTTCTTGGAACACTTTTTGGAATGTTGTATTATTTTGGTAAATACTTTAATTTAAATGCACTTAAATAAGTGCATTTGTACTTTTCAAACTGGGCTCTCATTCCTAATTCAATCTGTGTAATGTAACTCTGGATAATCAGCCAGGAACTAAAAAATACAGGTAAGTACCAACATTTGATTGAAAATCATGACTCTCTTGTTTTGTTTTGTTTTTAATCAGGAAATATCCACATGTTCTCAAATGTAGCTAGAGATGCTCACTATTATCCACGGAGGCACCGAAATGAGAGAGCATGGACACAGGAGCAAGAAGAGGAAGAAAACAGACCGCAGGTACCCAAGAGAAGGGATCTGTGGGCTTCAGTGTGTTGCCAGGATAAGGGGCTCATTTATGCATCTGAAATGAGTAAAAATATTTTTCATCCATGTCAGCGGTGCTATTACCATGGAGGATGATTTCAAATACAACCACGTTACTTGTCTTGTACTAATCACTACCTTCAAAATGCATTATATTGCTCTAGAGTTTCTGAGATCAAGTTTTTTCGTGGTGCTTTTTGAAGAAGTTGATTGATGAAGATGATGATGATTTCTTCCCTGCAAGTTCCTTAAAGACAAGCTCTGAAAAGAGCTGAGATCATAGACTTAGGACGTAAGTTTTCCACACAGCTTAAAAAATGACAAATAGATCCAGCCTAGTGCAAATCAAGTGCCCTTGTTCCTAACCCAGGACAGGGAGGAAAGCCTAGTTAGCTCCCTATTTTGTTTTGCTCCTGTTTTGAAAAGGGATTTTAGAAGAACAATTTAAAAATAAAACGAAGAGCAAAAGTTAGGGTGTGTTTTTGTTCCATGACTCTTTGTTCCTTAGAGCTTTTTCCCCACTCTTTACTAAATTTGTGCAAACACACACAAATGTCTTTATCGTGCCTCTGGTCTCTTAACCCTTTATATTTAAGTGGTTTTATCCAGTGATTGTACAGGGATTAGGATTTTTAAAATATATGTAGTAAACTTTAGAAACTGCAAAGAAGGGCGTTGGCACAGGTAGGGATTTCAAAGTGTTACTTCAGTTTGAGTTGTCATGCAAGTGCTGTGGGCACCTATTGCCCTGTGGAGGAAGTGGCAGATTAAAGAACTGTCATGAATATGCCAGTAAGAAAGAAAATCAAATGGCTTTAAAGAGATTTCTAATATTTTTAATAAAGGTTATTTTAAAATTCAAATGTCATCCCGCTCAAAATTCAAAAGTACTTCCTTTTTCTTTTGCTGATCTGCCTATCATGGCCTGACTTCTGTGATCAAATGCATCCTTTTCCATGGGTGTATTTTCTTGCCTGCTAATTATTGTTGTCCTTTTCAGAACTCGTATTCTGCATTCATTCAGTTGATGCCAGTTTTCATAATAATAATAGTGTCCGTTATAACTCAACTGATGGCAACTAACCCACCCTACAGTCTATTTTACAAATCGTAAGTCATTTAAAAATTAATCTTCCAGGTCTTGTGGTGCTTATGTTAAGAAGGCAGACAGAAGTTGGGTTCATAGAAAAGTGCATGTTAATGTTCTGTTCTGTGCTTTCTAGAGAGTGTTATCAGCTTGTAAATAAGGGAATACTCCCAATCCCTTTATATTGACACGTTCTAAGTCAAGTTATGGTTAGGAAATTTGCAGTGGTGAGCTTTATTTGCTGTGTGCTGAGCAAACAGAGGCGTGGAGCCAGAGAGCTCTCCCAGCTGCTGGGAAATGCTTTTGCAGGTGCTGCAGATGCAGGAATACTGCGGGTGTAGCTCAGCTACAGTAGTTATCAGCCTCTTGTCTGCAGTCCCAAAGGATCTGCCTGTGGTTCCCAGGTAAAGTCATTAAGAAATCAAGCCTCCTGTTTGCACTGTTAATTGTCTGCACTGGGGCCTGAATTTCAGTGCAAGGATCACAGAGCTCCACAAATTAGTCTTCAAATGCCCCAGCTGAACATCCACAAAGGAGCAGAACGCCCAGGCGTGCCCAGAGCTAACTTAACTGGGCAGCTCTGGGGATAGAAGCACTGCCAGGACTGCTGTAATCCGAGTCTGGAGGGCAGAGGGAAACCTCCTTGCTCCTCTGTTCAGCATCCAGTGCTGGGAGATGCAGGAGCTTTTGGTGGGAGAGGCTGCCCAGTTCAGCTATCCTCCCTGCCTCCTCCTGAGCCCAGAGTGGGAGCTGGCAGCCTTGGAAGCATCTCAGGGCATGGAGCTGCTCTCCTAGGCCACCAACAGCAGGAAGCAGAGCGCTCTAAATCTCTCCTTGCTCCCTTTGAGGGCCACAGTTAGCCCGGTTTAGGCCTGTGCACTGTCCAGGGTCACACAGTTTAAGTGACCTAGCACCTTTTCTTTTGTTTTTATCACAAGATGTGGTAGCCTAATAACACAGCATCTTTTCCAGACAGTGTTTTGGGAACTGCCAGGCCCAAGGGAAATGTCTCACACTGCCTCCAAGCAGCTAATTCTCTGCTACCTCCCCTCATCCTGTTGATTTTTAGATGGCCAGACCTGAGCCTGGCCTGTATTACCTGAGCCTAACTTGTATAGTCACAGTTAAGCTGTTTCCCTAAATGATATAACTGAAGAGCCAGTGCTGCTAGAAAAAAAAACAAATAAAGAGGAGTTTTATAAAAACAAGACCATGCAGCTCTGCAAAATAATGAGAGAGAAGGAAAAGAGTCCATCAGCTGATGAAGGGGCAAGCTGAGCTCCCTTGGATAGAGAGTAGCCTTTGCTTTTTGGCTGCCTGCCTCTTTCTCTGGGCAGTAATTTGAAAAATGTCTGGATATCTTTGCTCAAATAAGGATATTGAGTAGAAGAGAATAGGTTTAATCCAGTGCCTGGGTCAGAGTGGCTAGTTCAGCATGCGGGATGTATTTTGGGATAATCCACGTGCCACTTGGCTTATTTGATAACTGTAAAACCCTGAAAGAAGTGCAACTAGAATCCCTCCTGCAAATCCCTATTGCTACTGAAGGATTCAGAAGAAAAATGCACTGTACCATAAGCAATAATTGGGCCATGTGTCTTTCCTATAATATCTGTATTTGTCCTAATTTCCCATAGATTTCTGCACACAGCTTGCCAGATGTTACCAGTAAACAGAACAACGTGTGTAGAGCTTTTTCTAGATAAAATTTGCTCTTATTTTTTGGAGGTTTCTTGACCAAGCTGTTGCGAACAAACAGAATTTGGAAAGGACAGTGTCAACTCCAAATCGGTTCTCTGTAAATGTCTCTAAATACTAGATATTTTCACCATATTTTTGGGTGACTCTTGTTTGTAGTGACGTTTGTTGTGCCTCAGACTTGCAATTGTGTTCTTGGATGGCTGAGGGAGCTATAGTCCTGCAGGAAGTTACTGTAGAGGAGAAGTTGGAAATATATCCTGCTGGAAATGCTAATATGAGGAAACATATCCTGACTTTTTTTTCCCTCTTTTTTTCTTTTTTTTATACGGGAGATGCTCAAAAATTTCTTTCTGTTGTTTTCACAGGTCCATAGGCCATGTTATTAGTAGAGAAACCGAGAACTTGCAGGTGCCTTACTATGTTGATAAAAACTTTGAAAAGATTTATCAAGGTTTGGAGCTCCAAGAGCTAGAAAAGACTGTTGAAAAAGATTACATAGAATATATTCAGACCAGCTGCTGGAAGGAGAAACAGCAAAGTAAGTTCTCTTTGTTACAGGTGTGTGCATACAGCCAAGCCATCAAGAGCTGCAACATGGTCGTGTTTTGTAAAGCGCTGCCATTTTTAGCCTTATTTTCCAAAGCATGTAACTTTTTAAAAAACTTTTCACTCATGTCTGGTCTCAGTGCTGATTTTCTTACTCTAATTTAGAGTCTGTTATTGGTTCATTTTAGGTGATTCTAGCGGAGAAGTGGAAAATAGATTTCACCATTTGAGACTTTTTTTTCCACTGAGTTTTTATGCTTGAGTAATTCTTAGTTAATGGTGTTTTAAGCATATAACCCACCACACTTGTTTATCTCTGACAGACTGTTAGGATTAGAAAAGTTATGTAGGGTTCACCTATTTCACCCTTCCCTTACTGAGGCAGAAGCATATATGCTTTGGACTATGTCTGTGAGCAATTTATCTGTTTCTTTCCTCAAAATGTCCTGAGAAAGAGAGTCTGTAGCCTTTTCAGATGTTTTTTGCAATCCTGCAGTGGACTGTGTTGCTGGTATCGGTTTTCAGAGAGGGTACTTTGTGGCTATTTAATGCACTTATTTGCATTTTCTATCTTTAGTTGCATTTGAGATCGTGCGTTTCACCGCACGAGGCTGCCTTTTAAAAACAAGAATTGAGTGCAGATGGTGAGAACACACAAATTCAAGCATTCAGAAATCATTACTCTCATGTCAGTTCTCATGCCATCAGTTGAACTTAGCAAGGCATGTATTCAACCCCCTTACTGCATTACCTGTTATTTGCTATTTAATTCAGCAGACCACTGAAAATGGGGTACTCCCACTTTCAGAAAGTCACAAAAAAACACAGAAATCAAATAACCTGGGCTAGCTGAATTTGGCATGCTGAGACTGACCTTTTTTCAGCTAAAGTACTCATCTTAAAATGAGTAAACAGAAAATACTGTGGTGCATGAGGGTTTTTTGTGTAAAATGGTCTTTTTTTGTGTTAATATTGTAGTAGTAGGAGAGGTAAGCTGCTTGCGCATTTAAGTAAGGCTTTTTAAATTGCTCTGTGTAAAAACACAGCTCAGCACACTTTTAAAAACTGACTTTGCACTTTTTTTGCAGTTTCTCTACCAGTCAGATTGTTAGAGCATAAACAAGGTAGTATGCACCTTGTCTAAGCAGGATTTGCCTCATCCAGTGCAAGAGGTAACAGCATTGCTGACTCCAAACTATTTGCAGATTTTTGATGAGAAGGGTATTTTTGTCTAGAGATGGTTTACTTGACATAAAAATTGGCAATCATGCTTGTAAAGAGGAATATCCAAATGCAGACTATTGAAATGTCTCTACTACGGAAATGTAGAAGTTGAAGAACCCAAAAGGTGAAACCAGAAAGATCCAAGCAATCTTTCATTTTTGGTGTGCTTGTCTTGTGTTTTCCAAGCTTCTGCAGCTGGCAGTAGCATTCTCTAGGTTACAACGTGGCTGGTAATAAGGATAAATCCATCGATGTACCCTGATAATTGACCTAGTGCTCCCCAAAAATGCTGTGTCATCTCTTGTGCATAGGCTTGGAGCTGCAGAGCGCTCTGCCCTAAAAAGGCAGCAGGGTTTACAAGCCTGAAAGGGGTGAGAGTCAGAGGGAAACGATCCAGCACAGGCTGCCAAGTAATGCTCCTCTTCAGATTGTACACTTCAAGCCCTGCAGCCCAAGCTGCCTCATTTGCCGCGCGCGCACGTGGCGGTACGTGCCAAAGAGATTCCCTTCGTGGGAATGGCATCGGATGGGAGCGTCCTGGCCTGTGCAGCTGCGTGGAGAGGTGGGGAGGGAGTGTGAGCATCGGGGGCTGCAGCCTGCAGCAGCTCCTGGCTGCCTGCACACACACAGGCTGCTCCTTCGCTGCCCTACGTCCAGGGCCGTGCGGGGAAACGTGCCCTCGCGCAGCTGAGCGCTGCCTGCAGGCCCCACATGCAGGCTGCTGTTTCTGCTATAATCCACACGGGGTGACGCGCAGGAACGCTGCCCTCACAAATCCCTGCGCATCCAGCAAACGAACCTGTGGAGACGCTGGCACTTGGGTTCCCAGTTAAGTGAGGAGCAGAAATACCTGCTCGCAGCATTGACTGCTGCCTGGATTAGTCACACGTCTGCAAATAAGCTGGCAGGGCCCACAAAAAGCAGTAGCCTGAGGACAGCACTGTAACTGAAAAAAACGTTTCCAGAATGATTGCCATCTGGGCCAGCAAGCCAGTAATGAATACAGCGGAGACTGTGCTAACTTTAGTACAACTAAGATTGCAGAAATAAACTGAATACAAGATGGAGTGGTTGTGAAAAAGTTCTCTGGGGACCCTGAGACTCTTCTTAATCAGCTGTTGCTTCGAACATTTGGTCCATTAATTCTTATTTAAGTGTTTCACTTCATGTGGTCAACTTAGTTTTCCCTTCAGCTGAATGCCTATTAGCAGTATTATTACCCAGTTTTATTGCTGGGGTTGTGTTTCTCATCAGCACCAGCAAAGCATTAGGTTTGCTCAGAGAGCTACAAAGAGCTCTGAAGTCAAATAAGGATGAGGGAACAACTATGTGTGAAAATTTCCAAGCTATAATAAACTAGCTGTAAGCTGAGATTTTCCGTCGCAGTATTCCTGTGTTCTGGAGTGAAAGGCAGTTACCTGAGTCCTCTCTTGCTTGTCAAGGTTCTGTCCACCATGTCTGTACTCTACATGAGTAGTGTTTTAGTTATGAGAACTGGAAAACATGCTTGTCAGCTTTGTAAAGCTTTTCAATGCATACATAGAGTGTCAAAAGCCTTGAAATTGCAGTAAGAGGACATGTGACTTGAAGGGTTATGTTGGGATTGTCCTGTTGAGATGTTCTTTCCACTCTGAATGGTGGACTTGAAAGGTGATTAAAAAAGCTCTTAGAAAATTAAATGGTATCGGGTAGCTTATGCTTAGGGTAATTTTGACCTTTGCAGAAATGAATTACTGCTCTTCTCATAGGTGCATCTAATCCTGTATCTAAATTATTCTCAAGGGAAAAAGCTATCTTTAGCTTATCAGCAAAAGAAACTTCTCCGAGTTACAGGGCTACATTCAAAGAGTGGGTTTTGCTCAGTTATATATGTTGCTTCTGAGAATAAAGAAAGAATGTTCCACACTTGAAATTATGTTGTTAATGAAAGGGCACACAGCCCTGATCTAGCTGTTCACCTTCCTATAATCATTACCAAAAAAAGAAAACTGATTTATCATGGCTTCTGGGCAAGCCTCTTGCTCAAGAGCTTGAATTCTAAGCACCACCACATCAAATAAATAAGTAAATAAATGAAATAAATCCGTGGAGCTTAATGTAAAATACTGTACTCTGAACTGTTCCTTTGAAGTACTATTTAGGTGGGTGTTCCGGGCCCTCACAGAGCGGATGTGCTGGAAGAATTGCATTTCTCAGTAACGTGGGCAGGGATTGCTGTGCTGTTCCTGTCTGGCTGGTAATTCCTGCCCAGCTTTTTACACTCCAAACAGCTGTCAGGAAGGACCCCAAGGAGATGGCAGGAAAAGTAGGCGTGAGGCTCTGCTTCCCTTCTGGCTTCTCACTTAAGTCCTCTTGGTATTCCCAGAGCAGCCTCTGTGTCCGTCTGCCCGTGCCTGGTGACACATTAACAGCCATAAGGGTTAATGCGTGATGGGATGCAATTTAAATGTAAATGTTGGTGTCATCTAAGACAATTGTTACCTAAGAGGCCAAATAGCATCTGACTCACTGTCTTTTACCCAGTTATTTCAAATACATATTTTAAAATAATTACTTTAGATTATTAATACCCAATTTTATATCTTACACAATTTCTGTAATGATCTGTGTTTATAATTTTATATTTTATTTGTAGTCAATGATAATCAACTTCATTTTTGTTTTCAGCAGTTGTTTCATTTTACTTGTAGTGTATTGGGGTTATTTTAAGTGAATATTTTAATTGTTTGAATTTTCGAGTTCATATGGAAATACCATTTTCTTAGCTTGCTAGCTTGGTTAAACCTTGTGGCTTCTTATTAAAGCAGGTTTTTAGTATGCTCAGTGTCCCTGAAATAAGGTGCATGTCATGAGGATTAGAAAGCACGGTGAAAGAGTTACTCAAAGCAGGCTCTCAGAGTTTGTCCTAATACTTTTTCTTTTCATCTTTCAGAATCTGATTTGTCAAATTTGGCCAAGTTGTACAGAGATGAACGATTAAAACAGAAAGCAGAATCACTGAAACTTGAGCACTGTGAGAAGCTCTCCAGTCTGATTGGAATGCACAAAGAGGGCTGACCAGGACATACGTGTTCTGTGCTTTTATTTATTGCTGTTTTAACTTATATTTTATTTTTCTTTGTATAAAAAAAGGGAAGGAGTCTATTGTAAAGAGTGTGAATACTGGATTCCTTCATATATATAGTGCAGAGATGGGCCAACACGAGCTGTAGAGCTGGTGTTTGCTTTAATATACTGTACATTACGTTTGGTTCCAAGGACCAGTGGCATTTAGTGTAAAATAATTCCCTGGGAAATGCTGCCCGGTTTGGAACCCGTCTTCATGGTAGTTTGTCTGCCATCCAAACAGTGTGTGCTTCCCAGGAGAGTAGACATAATGTCTTATGCTTTCTGTATTTTATATGGACCTGCAGTTCACTTGATCATACCGTGTAGTAGTTCTCCGCATTAAAGTATGCTCGCTTTTTCATAATGACCTCGAGCGGCCGTCCTTGCTTCTACAACTGTTTGTAATGAGAATTTAGGCTGGAAGCAGGCATATTTCTTGTTCTAGTCTAATACTTGTTGCTTAATTGAGAAGTGCGAGGTGCCTGCGTCAGGTAAGCTGCTGAGCATGTTCCTCACTCTCGTTAACGTCAAGGGGACTTAACAAGGTGCTTGTCTCACTGAAGATCTGGGTCCGTTTGATTCCTTACTGAGGAAACCAACTGAGATTGCAGCAGGAACAGCAAGAAGAGAGTCTGTGAATGGGACTGATTCCAGCTGTAGAGAAAGGACAACTGTATTTATTTTCTTCTGTGTTCTCAGTGGCATATTTTTAAGCTGGCTGTTTAGTTCTCATTTTATTTTCCAACTCTTCTCCAGCTGCTACACGGGTTCTGCTTGCTGGTGCAGTTTTGATGTAGCATATTTTTACTCTGATCAGTTATGAATGTTTCACTGTAGAGATTAGTATCGCAAAGAAAAAGATCTATGTGGTAGCTTCCTTTTTTTTTTTTTTTTTGAATCCTCCTTTACAAAGCCAGATGTTTACAGGAAAGTTGAGGATTGGGTTATGCTAGTAAGAAGCAGAGAACAGAGTATTACTGTGATTGAACATCATGAAGATCTGAACCTCTTTCTCTGGTGGTGTTGCTGGTGTGAGCCATAGCGGCAGCAGCACCTAGTCTGTTTGGATCAGATGAAAACTAACTCCCCTAAACAGTCCTGCTTGTGGAGAGCGATAAATCACGCTCTTGCCAGTGGGATGAGAGGAAAATGGGCATGGCCATGAGCCTGTGCAACACGTGAATTTTGGATCCTTTTTGCTTGGGCATCACTTGGAGAACTCTTAGTTCTGCCCATGGCAGGAGACAGGCCTGTGCTGGGCTCCGCACAGGGGAGCTTCAGCCTGCTCAGCACATGTGTAGCTGCACTCAAATTTCATTCTACTTCTTTTGAAAAGTAGCAGAAGGAAGGCACTTTTGGTTTTACCTTTTTTATTTTTATTTTTGATGTATAAATACCTATAAAACTTGTGGAATGAAGTATTCTACCCACTGACATATCCAGACAATAGAGGCACCAGTGGGACAGGCTTCTGCCCTCCCTCTGTAATACGGGGTTTTAGCACAGCAGCCGCTGAAGCGGTTGCGTGACCTCCGTGGCATGTAATTACGTGTCTGCAAAGACCTGAACAACTCTCTAATGCTGCTCCTATTGCTAAAACTCGCTACAAATAATGGAGGAAGCCTTGGCTTAAATAAAGGAAATAAAGTACTCAAAAGATTCTTTAAAAATAAAAATGCCAGAATTAAAACTATCTTAAAAAAGCTTAACTTCAGTCTCTGTGTGATGGGGCGTGAAGGTGCCATCGCGTTCTCTGCACGTGCTGAGGGTTGATGCTTGTGTCACTTTTGAAACTATGATAGCTTCTCTGAGGAAGAAAATGTTGGATTTAGTTGTTGCGGATGGATAAACATGACAGAAAGTGGGATAGGCAGCCTTAATTCCGGTATTTGCCAATTTTCAGTGCTTAATATATGTATGTATAAAAAGCAACAACCTTTAAATGTTGCTTTTTATCCATAAAACAGTCTGTAGAATATATTTTAATTATATTAAAGTGTTTTGACTTAATTCCAGGTTCATTATTTTTCCTTCCCTGTTGGTTCTTTGGCTCCCATCACTGTAAGGTGAGACAGAGGGAAACCCAACTCCGTGACAGGCCCAACGATGCACCTAACACAACTCCAATACGCCTGTTTTGCACTTAAATCATATCCCACCTTTCATCCAAAGACGTCCAAGTGCTTTGTCGAGGTGGGCCGTGGCCCTGAGGAGAAGCATAACTCCTGGGTGCCTTCTCCAGGACTAGGAAAGAGGCCGAGATTAGGTGGAAAATGAGACCGAAAGGTAAAAATCATTTTTAAAAAGTGGTAAGATTTTTCTTTATGGTGGTTGAGGGTGTCACAGGGGCCAGTTCTACAGGTGGCAGATAAAGACATTTGGCTCCTTAAAAGGTCTTTAGTGACAGATACCAACAGTTTTTGTGGGAAGCACTGGCATCCTATTTACTTCAAAATAAAGACAAAAAAGAAAAAATTCAAACCCATGACTGTTATGCATTACCATTACTGAGCAAAAATGACTTGCCAGAATGATTGACTGTAGAGATTTCTTGGTCTCCAGAGGGAGCCCCGAGCTGGTCTCGCTCCCAGTGGCTCCCACCATATCTGTGCACTTGGTCTGGGAATATTAAACCAGAGAGTGTTTGAATCTTCGTAGGGCATTGCTGTCCCTTTAGGAAGAGCAGCAGAGTTGCAAATGGGTTTGTTTATATATACATATATATATATATATATTTTCTTTTGAAAGATTGGACGTTTCTCTCACTGTACTGTGGTTTAAAAAAAAAAGAAAAAGAAAAGAAAAAGATTGTAAATTAGAAATAACTGCAGCCTGGGCATTATTTTCTTTTCGTGAAGAGTGGAGTGC